TTGCGAAATTGACGCGTTTCCATTAGGCGTATTTTCAATTCGCAATTTCAATTTGCGCAATTTGAAGGGTAATGGAAACGCGCCTTGTGATTGATTGGTTCTGTCTTGCAACATTTGCGTGTGTTCAGATGAGCAGGAAAATAGTTCTATCCTACACAATTACTCGCTAACAAAGGTTATTCGTCCAATTCAATGCATATTGTACGCATTATTATTAAATAAACAAAACCACTGGTAAATAAAACGCACCTTAGTATCGATATTTTTTGTTTGAGTATCGATACTTTCGATACTCGCGTCAGTATCGATATATCGATACTTCGGATCGATACGCCCATCCCTACCACATACTGGTCTGGCATGTATACTACATCGTTTTGTGTCGGTTTTGCAGTTTCGTGTGGACGCAGATATTTCTTGAGACGAGGGGAAAAAAAAGATCGGATAGGGAAAGCTCTGGCTTCGTGTGGACGCAGCCTCAGATTTTGTTCTATCCAGCTGGATTTACTCAGCGCAACTTGAAAAATGGATCATCCCCCTCTTAAAAATGACTTGTAAACTCAATCAGGTGTAGCTAATCACCTTCTCAATGGCACACAAAGCCATTTGAGTTTCAACTGTTATCAGCTGTGCTCATTTTGATCAGCTCAGCATGAAAAGAGCTTTCCTGGAGCATTTCAGGCCTTGCTAGTGCAACTGAAGCAAACAATCAAAAGATCTCTGGGATAAAGTTGTGGACAGGCACAAGTCAGGAGATTGATACAAAAAAATTTCAAAGGCTTTATCAATTCACTGCAGAGGATCAACAGGTGAGCAAGTGATGCAATGCTACATTTCTCCAAATCTGTTCTTATGAAGAAACAAACTCCTCTACATCTTGGATGACCTGAGGGTGTGTACATTTTCAGCAATTTTTTGGGTGAACTATTTCTTTAATGTTTCTTTCCTGGCTCAACATTTGATTTAAAATGCCAAAAAAATTCAAATTTTCTACAAAATCAGATATAAAATGCAATTTTTGATATGATAACTGTAAGACACTTGCTGAATTAAACATGCAATGTAATCATGTGACCGCAATGCAGTATAAGACTGTTTGCAAGGTTTACTGTTGCATAATGTCACATTTATATATTTGTAAAACACTGTAGGAAGTATAAAGGACATGCTTAAATAAAAATAGTAAGCCAGTTTTCTATTGCAAACAAAGCCTGAGTGCAGGGTTCAGACACAGTGCCATGTCACCTGGTTACTCCAGGGGTTTCCTGTCTGAGATATTAATGTCTAACCATCTGTTTATATCATAAACAAGGTGAAAGGAAGATACATCCAAGGACAACAAGCCAAGAAGTATGCGGCAGAACGAGAGCATGACAAAAGCACGACTCTCGCCCGAGCAACTCCATTTCTAATGCACTGTGCACGGAGAAAGACAAAACTTCCATTTTCTAGGTGAACTATTTCTTTGAGACAAAGCCTTATTAAAAAACATAACTCTGCTCTTGAACTGTTATTTTCAACCATAAAAACCCTGTCAGTATTGATGCAGTTCACCCAGTGGTGCCACTTAAAATCTGTAATTTTCTTTTAATTATGCAGTTCCTCTTTAAATAAACATGCATGCAAATTGATGCTTTACAAATTTATTAGTCAAGTGAATCGTCACAAAAGGCCAAGAATAACAAGTCAGGGCAATGCTATTTTAGTAACATTTGATATACTATTATAGTTTTTGTTAATATAAAAAATTATTATAAAATATTGATTTTATTGTTTTCTCACAGTTTAGTTGGTTTTAGTAATTTTGTTGTTTTTGTCATTTATTTATTTATTTTTTATTTAGTATATTTAGTTTGTTATTTTAGCACTTTCAGTTAAACTAAACAAAAATGAGATGTCTTCGCAACTAGCTGAAAAAAAACAACAGTTTTTTTTTAAAATATATTTGTTAATATTTCAAGTAACAAATGTTTTTTTTTATGGTTTTAGTTTAACTATAACTATAACAATAACCCTAAACCTCAGTCTCTAAAGTCTATGAGCTGTCTTTGCATTTCTTCAACAAAAAACCTCCAGGCTTAAACTCCAGGCTCGTCTAACAAAACATTAAATTTAATTGGAACTAAAACTGGGGCAAGAAGGCGTGAGGACCTTAAAATGCTGCACATGCAGGCAGCTCACTAGATTTTCGAGTCCCTGATTCACGTGAACTAGTGAGTGCAATGAGACACACCCTGACTGAGGCTTTTATAGGCTTCAGACAAGCAGTCACCATGACGACCTCCAATTATTTACTTCCTTTTCTTCAGCGCAGTAATGTAAAATACACAACTGCAATGCAACACAAATGCAACGCTCTGCCTTTTATGCATTCATTGTTCATAATGATATTATTTTCATTACAACTGAGTGCATTTTCTCAAATTCTACCAAAACAAATCCAGATGTTTAAAGATTTTTTTTAAATTATTCATAAGAGAGATTTAAAATTAATGATTAATAATGATGATAATAATGTTCCTGTGGCTCAGTGGTAGAGTATTGCGTTAGCAGCGCAAAGTTCGTGGGTTCAATTCCCAGGGAACACGCATACTGGTAAAAAAATGTATAGCCTGAATGCACTGTAAGTCATTGTCACAATTAGAGGTCAACCGATTGATCGGCCGATTTTTTGCATTTTTTAATTAATCTGCATCGGCCGATTGTGCTGCAAATTAGGCCGATTTATAGGCAGGCGCGCTGGTGGGCAGATAAGCGTTGTTGCAGAACTCCCTCTGGCTGCGTGAGACGGAGCAACTCAAGCTCTGCAGGCTGCAGCCGTGGCTTGTTCACACACAGCCTCAGCTAATGGCAGGGTAAAACAGACCGTTTTGAAAGCAGGATTACGTTTTGCCTTACTAGAATTGATGCCGGAAAGTTATATTCATAAGTGCAACAAGTCATTTGCATGTGAAAGTAGGAACGCGTTCAATTCAGATGAAACTTCTGGGCTGATTATAACGTGCACGTTAACTTTCCTCATGAAATGTGTCTGTGGGTCCGACAATAGCCTCCACGATGTCATATATTCGCTCCTTCAGAACTGTTTTGAGAAGGTGCTTAAGTTTTGAGCCATGTATTATTACTCTAAATTGGGCTACTACTACCATTACTATCTTGTACCATGCAATAATCATTTACTCAAACTCACTTTTATGAGATGAATGAGAAAAAAAAAAAAAAAAAGAAAATCGGCCAACATATCGGC